TTGACTGTCTTTCAAGAGAAAATCCACTTTTGCTAGTCGACATGTGGAAGTCGACTGGGAGAGATGCCTGGATCCTTGACCGGAGATACCATAGTCTGCGGACAGAGTCGACTTCGCGTAAGTCGACTCGGTAATCTATGAACCGCAATGGTTATTGAACCGTTACACGACAGTATGGCTATATCATCTAGTCCCCCCCTAAAATTACTCGAAGCGACTCTGAGCTTACGAGTAGATTGTGTCGACTGAATGTTTCCCTCGAATCTTTTCATGTGTCCCGTCATCCGTTGTTACCTTGGGCCGCACCCACTCGTTACCTCGACTTGTAATACGACTCGTCTACACGAATTTTGATTTGATTAGATAAGTCTGAATCTTTTCGAATTTCAAAATTCAAAAAATAGGGTCTTTGAGCATTGATAAGACGTTTTATCTCTCCGCCGCTTCGTATTCCGTGCACCATCTCAACCGTTGAATATGACTTTAATCTGAGGGTCAGGGTTTCTCTGCCTTCTCTATAAATACTCCTCCTCTTTTCTCGTCTTCACTTTTCGCACTCATCTTCTCTGAGCTTTCTGTTTTCTCCGGCAAACACAACATCTCAAGCTTTTCCGGCACTCCTTTCATTTTCCGACGTTCTCAGATCTTTCAGGACTCCTTCGTCGATCACCATGAGTGTGAGTAAGTTTCCTTTGCTTTTTAATTTTTCGGTGTGTTTAAGATAAGAAACTCTCTTTTCTTCTTTCTCTCTTTTTTTTATATGCTTTGGGGCCTGTATGTTCATCACATTTTCTGGGAATTCTTGGAGAATTCTAGTGGTTTTTCTTTGTTAGATCTTTAGCTGTCGATCTTTTATCTCCCTAAAGTGTTTTCGTTTGCCAGTCGTCTTGTTATGAGAGATCGACTCTTTTGTCAAGTCGAATCGATATGGGAACTACTTTTCTTATTTCTTCTCCTTTTCTTCCCGTCGTCGAGATGCTTCTCGTGTCATCCTGGTTATTTTGTTGACCCTTCTCTTTGAATCGAATCATGGTTTCTAATAACTTTTCTTGATTGCCGTTCTTTTTCTTCTTAGATTCCAATCTCGACCCTGTTTCTGACCCCGTCTCCGGTTCTCTTGCCCGTGACATCGATAACTATTTGGGTTCAGACTCTGTTCACCCAAACGATGTCAAGCCGTGTTCTCATCGAAACGTCGAGCCGGAGGATTTTGTCCATTCACAT